ATTTTTTTTAGTTCTTCGTTATAACTTACATACATCTCAGGTAAATCAAAAGAAATGCTTATATTGTGATCATTCATAGTAATGATGGCAACGAACCCATGATGACGAAAAACGTTTAAATGCGCTGAAAACTGAACGCATACAGAACGCTTACCATTAAACAAATTACTAATTTTCAAAAAAGAACTGCATATTTTAAAAATTAAAATTATTTGAACTTAGAATTCGTAGCGAAAAAAGGAAAAAATGTACTGGAAATAGCCTGTACGGCAGAACGGTTATTTTATAGGTAAATCTATACATAGAATAAAATGCTTGGAAAGTCAAAACTGTACATTGAATATTTTTTTAAAAGAATACTTAGGGTGTGAGCTACAGTCGATACCGAAGCCAAAAATATAGTTTTTAGAATCTTTGTCTGTTTATCTGTTTGTCTGTATGTATGTCCGGGATAAACTCAAAAAGTACTGCATGGATTTACTTCCAATTTAGCACGAATATTATTAAGAAGTCGGGTCAAAATATAGGCTACTTATTATCACGCTATCACCTACGGGGAACGAGCAGTGAACCTTTATTTCTTCAACGCATTCTGTAACAATGTGTAATCTAACGACGCATATTTGAATGTTAACCATGCTATAAGCTAGCTTCACACTATAAGTAACTTAGGCCGATAAACATAATTGCAATTAAAGCAGCGCCATCTATGAGATTTCAAAAACATCAAGTCGAAATTTACGATCCATATCCATATCCATAAATGACCATGCTTTGTTCACTTCAGAGGAAAAACAAATTTATGACACCGTCCTTGAAAGCGTTGGGCAAAACCAGGGTAAAATGTTTTTCTTGGATGCTTCTGGTGGAAAAGGAAAAACATTTGTTACAACTTGCAGAGGTCAGAAGGCAAGGCAAAATTGCCATTGCTGTAGCATCGTCGGGAATCGCTGCTACACTGCTTCCGGATGGCAAAGTCAGCACATGCCATGCTTAAAATTCCCCTCGATTTAGAGAGCACCGAAACGCCTGTTTGTGGTGTGTGACAGTGATAAGGGACACGTGCTCAACGATTGCTCTCTGATCGTATGGGATGGGTGTACGATGGTCAATCGCGATGACCATCAATAAGTCGCAGGGGCAGACAATGAGGGCAGCGGGAGTCGACTTCAGGACGACCTGATTCTCACAGAGGTACGTCGCTTGCTTCCGCGTCGCCAGTCCTGACTATCTTTACATTTTGGCTGCGGAGAGCCAAACCACTAATGTTTTAATTAATTTATATATTAATAAAAAAAATCAAGAAGTCCTATGAGTATGTATTTTGAACCTATTCTGTATTCCTTATTCATTATTTTCTCCATCTGCTTCACTCACAACTTATTAATTAATTCAGTAGAATCACCATAAATTCATTCATTTATTCACAGCACGCTGAATCAGCACTTTTTGAAGGTCAATTTTACAAAAGACAGTCTCCCTCTGTTACTGGTCTTTCTGTAGATATGAAATGTTAAGAAGAAACGGGTAAATGAATGTTATTTTAAAAGGTATAATAGTAGGTATTTTTGGTGCTGTATAGCGTTCACACAGACGACGTCGCAGCGAAATATCACTCAATGGTTAATCACGAAATCTCAGAAATTATGTATAACATCTACAAACTTAAAATTTGGCACGTAGGTTCTTTATAGGGTGTGAATATTCGCTAAGAACGAATTTTACGAAACTGGGTGGAGTTTCGTAAAATTAGTTTCGTAAGTGGATAATACGGGGGTTGGAAGTTTGTATGAAAGTCCTATGTTTTTAAAGTAAGGGACTTGAAATTTAACATGCATGCTCTATAGATGGTGTAGAGGTGTACTAATAATGTATCTTTAGAAATAAACCCCTTTTTGGAGTCAAAAACTATATGCAAATAACTAACTCCCCGCGTACGAAGTCGCGGGCGGCTGCCAGTACCTAATATTCTTAAGAATTAATTATTGTGGTTTCCAACATTGTATTTTGGGCCGAATCAAATAATGTTTGCGGTGAGAACATAGTCAAATCTATACAGCTAAATTACGACGTACCTGGAACCTGGAACTTAATAATTTTACGGATAAATCCTATTAAACAGCTTGAGGGGTGAGGTGTAAGACCGAGATTATAAACACTGTTTTCTCTTCGGTGGTGTCGTGTGAGGCGGGTCGTTATGTTCCCTAAAATATGGTTGAGCGAAGCGATGGCTGGTTCATGCATCATGCTCGTGAACGGGGGCTGCCAGCGGAGATGAGTCTGCCCTAACTTCCGTGATATTGTACATGTTAATGTTTAGTTACACTTAATATAAATAACACCATTAATTTGTATTTATACTGTATGACACAGCAATCAAAATGCAGGTAAACAATTAATGTTTATTTATCATTATGTAATGAAAGGTGTCTTCATGAATCATCTCTGAAGTCATTTTTCAACTTGACGAATTTGTAAAAAATAAAAGAGGGAAAAAAAAGCAGCCTTTGCTGAGTTTCTTGCCGGTGCTTCTCAGAACAAGGTCTCCCGCCGTAGATTTACGAACCGATGGCGTAGCTTCTAGACATTCATGAGTGCTTGTAGCAGCCTAAACTGGATAAATGATTATGATTATGTATTTAGGCTTAACGGTAGTCTTAGAAAAGTTTATTATTCAGAAATGGATAAAAATATACAAAAGTTAAATCAGTGTCATTGCTACGTGGGCCTTTTTGCCTTTCATTACAAAAACCAATAAGCCATTTACCCTATATATTGGTATAAAAGGTGACGATCTCCGTGGCCGAGTGATTTGTACGCCGGATTTCAAGGTGTCGCCTGCTCGAGGGGCCCCGGTTTCGAATCCCGGTTGGGGCAGATGTTTCTGTGGTGCATACGAGCATTGGTACTCCAGTCATAGATGTTAAATATGTATTTCTATGTAAATGTATATGTATATATATAAACAATGAAACTGGAAAATCCAAAACTCGCGAAAATAATTATAACCTAAATATTGATAATAAAAAGGTTACATCAGATATTGAAGTTGCTAAAGTGTTTGAAAATTTCTTTACTGATATTCCAGTTTCAACTACGAAATCTTTGAACTCTTCCCCCATTGCTGCCGAATCAATCTTAAGAGAAAACGTGAAACCTTGTACTAGTTATTTTCATTTTAAACATGTTGACTTTAAAGATGTAATAAAAACGTTTCACCAATTAAATAAAAAGAAAACCGCGGATCTGTGGGGCAATTCCGTTGATGTTTCTAAATCGGTAATTGAGACAATAGCTCCTATTCTAGCTTGCATATTTAATGATTGTGTTGACTGTGGTGTTTTTCCTGACCTCATGAAATACAGTAAAATTACTCCTTTGCATAAATCGGGAAGTACATCAGACCCCACAAACTTTAGACCAATTTCTGTACTACCCACCTTTAGTAAAATTTTTGAAAAAATCATGTTAGATCAAATGCAATCACATTTTAATAAATATAATATACTTCACTGTAAACAATTTGGTTTTACACGGGGTCGTTCAACAACCGATGCCGGTGTTGAACTTATACAACAAATTTTTGACGCCTGGGAGAACTCGCAGGACGCTCTAGGTGTGTTTTGCGACTTGTCCAAGGCTTTTGATTGCGTTTTTCATGACACATTACTCAGGAAACTCCACCACTATGGATTTAGAGATACTGATCTGGATCTTATTGCATCATACCTGAGGGATAGGATTCAGAGGGTTGACATTAATGGTAATAAGTCTCCGGGTTTGCCGGTTAAGATGGGTGTTCCGCAGGGCTCAATCCTAGGTCCTTTCTTATTTTTAATTTATATTAATGACTTACCTTACTATGTAAGAGATAACCATGAGATAGTATTGTTTGCGGATGATACATCACTTTTATTTAAACTCAAACGCAATGAAAAAGTTATTGACGACGTGAACAATTGTATCTCTAAGGTAGTCCACTGGTTCAATGTTAACAATTTATTACTTAATGAAGGAAAAACGAAATGTATGAAATTTGTATTACCTAATGTAAAACAGGTAAAAACCAGTGTGAATGTAAAGGATAGGAATGTGGGCCTTGTAGACACCACAGTATTCTTAGGGATAACTTTAGATTCTAAGCTTCAATGGGGCCCACATATTGATAAATTGTCAAATAGACTTAGCTCTGCAGCATATGCCGTAATGAAGATACGCCAGTTAACGGATGTAGATACGGCCAGATTAGTGTACTTTAGTTATTTCCATAGTGTAATGTCGTACGGAATTTTATTGTGGGGAAATGCCGCCGACATTCAAACTATTTTTGTGCTGCAGAAGAGAGCTATTCGATCAATTTATAATCTTAAAGTTAAAGAATCATTAAGAGATAAGTTTAAAGAATTTGGAATAATGACGGTCGCATCACAATACATATACGAAAATTTATTACTTGTAAGAAAAAATATTAATTTGTTTCTTAAAAACAGTGATGTTCACACAATTAATACAAGAAACAAAAATAAACTAACTTTACCTGCTACTAGGCTTCACAAAATTAATAATTCATTTAAAGGTCTTTGTGTTCGCTTATACAATAAAGTCCCAAGCAATATCCAAGAGTTAGCCATAAATAAATTTAAAGATATTATAAAAAAAACACTTATTAAAAAAGCTTATTACAAAGTGTCTGATTATATTACAGACAAAAATGCTTGGGTTTGAACTGTTCCAATCATTCCAACAGGTTTTCTATATTAAATAAATCATAATTGTATTGACGTTGTAACAACATAATGATTTGTAAATGTTGTTACATTAGACTTTTAATGTTGTGGAGTTTTTTTCGCTCGTTTTTCTCCGCAGCTAAAAAATATGTCCATAACGAGTGGTAGGGAAAAAAAATTTTTTGGACGATTCAAAAGAGTTGTACTATACATCCAATTTGAATAAAGATATATTGATTTCTGATTTCTGATTTGATATATAATACTGCTTACCCAGCCGCGATACCCCACTGCTGGGCCGCCGCCTCCGCCGCGTGGTCGAACAGCGTCAAACCCACCAACGCTACCGTCGGGGCAATCGTCAGGGGGGTCACGTAACGAAGCAGTTGCCCGAAAATGCCGAAAAAACCTTCAGAAAATGTTCGGTACTGTTATTGAGAAGCTAGAATAGTAGCACCCGTCTATAAAAGTATGTAGTAAAGTCCGGCCGAATGTCGAATTTGGTCGAGTTTTCGGTTTAAATATGTGCCAAAGCCGGAATGTCGACAGAAGTGCGGCCGAAATTTGGTTAGATTTCGCGGAATGCTCAATGAATGAAATGTTTAAAAATAATAACATGTTCAAAATATTGTTTAGTTAAAATAAAAAAAAACATTAAAAGTCAAACTCATTATCGAAAATAAGTTGCAAAGAAGAAAGAATGTAATGTTAGCTTGCTGATAGGTATTATTACAATTGATATATTTTTTATATGTATTGCTGTTTTTTTATAAAGAGAAATAAAAACTTTCATTTGCTCATTATTTGATCAAAATTAAATGTTAAAATACATTTCCTATAACTTTTCTATTCCTTATTTAAATTATTTTTTTAGAATTTCGGCAGTTTTTACGGCGATCTAGTCAAAATTCGACCAAAGACGAAGTAAGAAAATCAGCCAAACTTGTGTAATACCAGATCTAAAACGGTGCATCTACCTACCTACACCATTTAAAAAAAAATAGAAACCTTTTATAACTATAGTAAAAGAAATTCGACACGGCCATTAAGGCCTTGGAAGCATAACGGCCACCCTCATGAACTCAAGTGAACCGAATGAATATTTTTCCAATAACTTTTCTTTAAATTTATAAATCAAGCATGTCATAAAATATAAATATAGACGAAAGGAAGCCTCACCAAAAACCATCTGCAGTATAGCCGACACAGCGATGGCGCCGGATAGCTCACACATCCGGCTGGTCCACACGGCGCGCCGCTCGCCGTCCGACATCGCTTCGAGCACTTCCGGCGCCGGACACTGCCACGCCGGCAACCCTAGTATCGCCAATGTAGGTACCAGAAAGGATATAGTGCCCCCTTGCACTATAGGTAGTCGACATCCGAATGTTGCCTGTAGCCAAGTGACCAGTCCTGCGAAAGAATAATTCGTTGTTCAATTTATTATAAGTCTTTTATGTTGTCTTCTTGTTCTTGGTTTTTTTATTTCAAGTCAGTGTGTGTAATTATATGTGTTCTAAGGATATCACGTCGTAAATCTTTCCGGCGATAAGGTTATTTTTTCTTTTATTTTGGCAACAAACAGTCATATATTTTACAAAATAAGCTTACGTTAAATATTTTTTTATGGAATAGACCTAACAGTGCCTAAACACAATATGAAAACAGACCTGGAACCACGCCCGGTAGCGTCGGAACCGCTATGTCCCTGCATTTTAAATCTGTAATATTATTTGTCGTAAAAAGTATAGGATATAGATAGATAGATAGATAGATAGATAGATAGATATTTCCAACTCTCACACCAATTACCCTAGCCCCAAAGTAAGCACTGTAAGGCTTGTGTTATGGGATACTAGGGTAACGGATAGAATACATATACTGTACATATATAAGTATATTTATATAGGAAATACATATTAAACATCCATGGCTGGAGTACAAATGCTCGTATTCATCACACAAACATCTATTATATAAAATATAAAATGGTTATTATCCCTAAGAGATAGACATATACCATCGCGGACTTTTTTGTAGACTTTTTTAAGGTGTACAATACTGTAGAACATTATTTTGATCTATCACGTAGGGTTCAGTCAGCGTTTGCAATGTAAGCGCAAAAAAAATGTTTATTTACACCCTTACTTTAAAAACCTCTAAAATTATCAGTGTTTCTCTACTATATTATGCATGTATTAAGAGCTCGATGGCGCAAGTGGTTAGCGCGCTCGGTTGCAATCGTTGAAGTTAAGTAACTTTCGCAGTGGTTGGTCATTGGATGGGTGACCAAAAATTTACTATCTCAAGCTCCTCCGTGCTTCGGAAGGCACGTTAAGCCGTTGGTCCCGGCTGCATCTGCAGTCGTTAACACCCACCAATCCGCACTGGGCCCGCGTGGCGGTTCATGCATGGCCCAAGCTCCCTATTCCATCCATAGGGAGGTCTGTGTCCCAGCAGTGGGGACATATTAATAGGCTGCTGATGATACATATAAACCTTCCTCTTGAATCACTCTATCTATTTAAAAAAACCGGATCAAAATCCGTTGCGTAGTTTTAAAGCTTTTAAAGCATACACACATAGGGACAGACACAGCGGGAAGCGACTTTGATTTATACTATGTAGTGATAGTCAGAGGTTTCGTAAGTTCAAGGTTCTGGCGCAGCAACGAATGAAAATTGGATGAATACTATCAGATCCAGCACCTTTGTTTATGTTTAATTGATTTAGTTCCGCAAATAGACGAATTGATTTCAACTGAGTATTAACTCAGTTGGCAACGCCCAGTCTTCGTAGCAAACACTTCAATTCACCTTTTTTTTCGCAAAAAGACGAAACAGACCTTATTATTAAAGCTTCAACACAATTGCTTACTAGATAATTCAACTTAACTAAATAGTAATAATTTAAACTTTGGATAAAATCCGACCACTCTTGATATTAATCAAGAGTTGATTAAACGATATAATCACAATCATGTTTTGGTTGGCAAGGGTTGGAGGGTTTAATAAAAACGAAAAAAGAGTGAAAATACTGATTGCCTCACATATGTTTGGAGTGTAACTTATCATTGTACCACATTTTGAATGGAATATCACCCGTGGCTTTTTTGACTTGACGAAGGAAACTTAGGCTCTGTATTAATGTTTTTTTCTGAGAATTATATGTATTAATTGTGACAGCATACATTCATCTTCTTAAAACGGGCCCTTAATGATAACCATTTTTTGTGGAATTCGGCTTTTTCCTTGCTTAATTTAATAGGAGTGAAGCAAGAGGGATATTTTTGCTTTAAATTTAATTTACATCTGGGTACATTTTTAATTTATATCTGGGTACATTATGAGGTGGTCGTTGACGAAAATCGGCTTTGATGGACCGTCCAAGCCTGCGTCGACAGTTGTCAATCTACGCCGTTTACGAACCACTGCAAGCATGTCATTTTTACGGTACCTTTCTATAAACCGAATGATTATGTTAGGACTGGTGGATAATTCTTCTGAAGGCATGGTCATCAACCAGCTCCGTACCGCTCTTAATTTTCGATAAAAAACGGCGAACCCGGTGAACATTATCAATATCGGATACAGCCAAAGGGAAAACTATCTTCGCAGCTATGTTGTTTACAATAGTTCCTAGATTTTTGCCTTTCAGAACAGGTATTTCGGCTATCTCGAGATTATCAATCTCGAGTCTGTCCTGCTGTTCCTTGACGCAAAGTTGAACAAAAAAGATTGTATTGTTCGTTGTATTTCCAACGCTGCTTAAGTGACTCGACTTTCTGTGTATTTACCACACTGGTCGACTTAAACTCGTGTATTTCACTGTTTATAGCCGAACATTCAGTTGCTAAAGGAGATTGCTCAAATTGGCCTAAATGCACAAAAAATATTGACATACACGGTAATTCCTGGCGTAATTTATAATTTAATTTACAGTCATTAGATTTCAACGGACACCTTTGTATAATATATTTACTTTAAAAAGGACTTTTAATTTTACCGGTTTGGAAAACATAAAAATCATTTTTAATGGCTATGGGTGTAGTAACATTCAATCAAAGACTGATCGAATTTGTTTATCTATACTTATAATAAATCTGTAGAGAGGTCAATTCTGTACATGAAATATATTTTCAAAATAACTATCAGGGGGTGATTAGTGATCGATACTGATGCCAAAAATGCAATCAGTAAAATTTTTGTCTGTCTGTCTGTCTGTCTGTGTGTATGTTCCTTATAGAAACAAAAACTACTCGACGGATTTTAACCAAACTTGGTACAATTATTCTTCATACTCCTGGGCAGGTTATAGTATATTTTTCATCATGCTACAATCAATAGCAGCAGAGTAGTGAAGGGAAATGTTGGGAAAACGGGAGAAGTTACTCCATTTTTTAAGCTTCCGTCGCGTGTGCAGCCTTAATGGTTAAAGTTACATAGAAATCATGTATGACGAAAATATTCTACATAAAATTGTCTAAAAAATATTTCGCAACAGCATATGTCAATCTTTTATGGTTGACTCACAATAACACGTGTAATTATATAAATAAAGTCATTGTTTATAGCACAAGCCTGAGAACAAAAACTATAGTTTACACTACAGCTCTACACCGAAGCGAAGCGAGGGCGGGCCACTAGTATAACATAAAAACAAATCTATTTTGTAAAGATCGATAAAATAAATATTTTTTTTTATTACACTGTTGTATTAATATCCACAACTATATTATCATTTTCACAAGATGCAAATGTGCTCAGACTCTGTGCTCTGTGTTATAGATGGTAAGCAACATCATAAAGTCTATTGCCTTACATTTTTCGCCAAACACCTCCATAAACACATTATAATCTGTATATAATATGTTAGACTTTAAGGTATCTATCTATGGGCCTACGTTCCCTGACTATAAATTAATAAATAAATAAAATTATAAGGTGTGATACACTTAAAATCTAAAATATGGTTATCTTAAAAACATAACAAAAATAATGAAGCTACTGAATATATGGCTATAGAACCTAAATCTCTTAGCTTTGTTTGGTTAACGAGAGTTTAAAAATTCTCTCTAATCTGTGGCTCACTCACAATCATCACACAGTTTCTGCCACAGAGTACCTTATTATAACCGGAAATGACACCTGATTTTAAAAGTTACTCTTATGCATTAACTTTAAAAACAGGCAACTATCTGTTAATATACATGCTCTATATACCTGAATCTAATCCATAATTTCGGTACTTGGCTTGATTTCCCTAGTTTACTATATAACTTATTTGTTTTTTATTATTTTAATATGTTCAGTGTATATGGTTTATAGAAGTTCTCAGGGGTGTCCGTCAATAATATTCGTTTCTACAGTCATTTATATATAATTTCGAATCTAGGAAACAATTTTTCATGATTATTGGTCTTTAGGCCAAACATGTATGGAAGCTGAGCAATCTCCTTTGTAAACTTTTTGTTCATATCCTGCTTGAAAATACTCGGATCAGTAAGTAAGGTATCCACAGTTTCTTTGATATTTTTATATTGGATTTCTAGTGTGGAAGTAAAAGAGGCCATCAGATTATTTTGAAATCTTCTTTGTACGTTAATTTTTTTTTTACATTATTTTTGGATGTAATAGGCACACGTAAGCTTCGTGATCGATTCCCCTTTTTTTTCGCAAAAAAAAGAAACAGACTTTATTATTAAAGCTTGAACACAATTGCTTACTAGAAAATTCAGCTTAAGTTAATAGTAATAATTTAAACTTTGGATAAGATCCGACCACGTCCGAACCAAAGACGAATCCGAACGATGAACGATTTTTTAACTGAATATAACAAGGCATATTATAAACATGGACAATCTAGAGAAAATTTTACTAGAAAAAGTTCCACAAACTCCAGGCAGCAGACGGGACGCCAAACCTCACCCTCCGCTATCCTGGTGGATGCACTGACCATAAGATAATTAGACAATAATTTTCAATTCTGTACTCGTAAAAAAAGCTCCAGAAAAAAAACACGGAATTTTTATGTTCTTTTTCCACGTTTTCTTCTCTATATCTAATAGTGGATTAAACAGTTTATAAACGAAGGCGAAATGTATTTTGCGTTTGCAATTGTATTTTTTTACAAACATTTTTTTTTATCTTGTGACATTCTTAAAATGTTCTTGATTGATCTCTTTGATGATTGGAACTTTTACTTACAATATCTGTGGATATTGCTATTGATTTCCTAATTCAAATCAATTTTCGTCCCTAGGGATTTAAACGCCATTTCGGTTCCTTTAAAGCAGTGGTTCTTATCCGGTGGTCCCTGGAATCACAAAAAGTGGACCACGAAGTCATATGAAAAAATATTACATAAGGAAGAACGCTGATTTATTTACAAATAAAGAAATGTACCTAGTCACCTACAGAATTATAATTGTGGCAATCAATAATTTGTTTCTTAGGTTTGCACGCACATCACTCATTAAAATAAAACTAGTTTTAAAGGGGTAATGCACGAACTTTATTTATTTATTGACGTTTCGCAGCCTTTTCAGGTCTGCATGGTCAGAATAATGATTTTTTATGAGTGTTCGGATATTTCATTGGAAGATTTTTAAAACTATATTGTCTATGTATGAATTTATTAGTTAATTTAGATATTAAAGTACTTTATTTAAAATTCTTTTTTGTGATTTTGAGTTTATTTATTTGACCCTAACTACCGTAAACTACCACCGGTTCCAAAATTGGGAGACCTTTCTGAGAAGAACCGGCGAAACAAACTCAGAGAGGCTTTCTATCTCCTTTATGTTAAATTATGCAATCAAAAAGAACTAATAGTATCTGTTGGTCTTGCAGTGTATGTTCGGGGTTGGGAATCAACAATGTTTAATGGTTTAGCCATGGTTTATTTCACTGTTTAAAAATATATTAAGTGAATGCAAAAAATAAAACGTTATTTCAATAAAAAAACATCCCATTTGGAGGTGCTGGGATTTGAACCCAGGACTTTCAGCATGCGAAGCAGACACTCTACCACTGAGTTACACCCCCCGCTTACATGAAGCCAAAATTACGAGATACTTGGTAGTGTTGTTCTTCTTTGCAGCACTACCACGTACTACATATTTTGTGACAGGTACCCAATTACCCATCTTATACAGAAAATAAGGCCCGTATTATAGAAAGATTCTCAGTGATTGATCCAGTCTTGAGCATAGTTAGAAAGGGGTGTCGCTATATATAGCACATAGCGACATCCCTTTGTAACTGCACTCAAGTAAAGATCAACACTTAGTTATCATTCTGTAATACGGGCCTAAAACTAGCGGGGTAGTAAATAATTGTACCAAGCAACATGGATAATAAATATTTAAGCATACTTTTATTAGTAAATACTAATAAAAGTGAGATTTAGATAGGGGATAAAATTGTTTATCACAGAAATCTTGGGAAACGATAAGGATAAATGAAATGTGTCCGTTTTCAGGTTTCTTGTCACATCAGGGTGCGCAAAGTTATGGGAAACAATTATTTCAGCGAAATGTTTATGGAACAAAATCTCAGCTTGGCCCTGCCCGATAACTTAAGCCAACTTATACGCTGCTGCCACACAGGAGTCAGCGAATTTTAGTACAAATTCTCATTTTCGAATTATTTCAGTATTTGTTTTAAGACTATCATTGAAGACATAATGCTACCAACTGTTGAAGACATTACCTTTACAAATTTAGAAACGCGAGATTGTAAATTAATATTACTTTAAAAGGTTCCAGAAGTAAAAAATAATCAATGGAGGTAGTACTGGGGTGCGCTAAAATTTGTAATTTTCATACCATTTTTATGATGCCCCATATGATGTACTTAAACAACAAATATTGAAAACGCCTATTTATAAAGTACTCTGCAAGTTGTGGCCAAAACAAACAAACGATTTATAAAAAAATAAAAAGAACATTTCTTCATTGTTCATTGTTTCTTGCAATCTCCCATACAACAGACGTACTTTTTTGCCGTTTTTTGCTCTAATTTATAATACAGTGTCTAATATATTTGTTTCTTAGGTTTTCACGCACATCACTCATTAAATAAAACTAGTTTTTTACGGGTTAATGCACGAAACTTTATTTATTTATTCACGAAATTCGAACAATGAAATAACCAAACGCTCAATAAAAAGTCTTTCGAAGGTAGCTCGACAAAATTAAATAAAATTTGATTCTGACAGTGTCTAATGTTATATATGTAATGGTATGGAACTCTTCGTGAGGGAGTCCGAATCGCACTTGGCCGGTTTTCTACTAAATGAAGGCACCCAACACTTATTAGCTCCAGTGTGGGAGCGCCTTGACACAGTATATACAGGGCGTCCCACGGCTACCTCACAAGGAGGGAAAGTATATTAAATATTGAAGATAGGATATTTTACTGTAAGGAGACATCGTTTTATTTTTAATAATAAATCGAACTGCATTCACAGATTTTTTTAAAATCGTCTGCTACAACTAGGAATCAAATTCGTGAAAGGACAATGTTAAATTTGGCCTAAGAACCAACACCAATTTAGCATTTATGATAATTCTTAGTATATTTTTTGCGATAATTATCAGTATTTAGATTGTCACGGACACTTCCAGTTAAGTAAGCTATATTAAAAAGTTAAAAAATAATCTGAGATTACCATTTTATGTGTTTAATCTATGGCAGCGCAGCAAACAAGACACTCTTTCTTCCAAATGCCGGCCCTACACTTGGCTATTCGTGTTTGTTATTTGATAACTTGACATCAGTCTGTCTTTTTTATTCTTTATTAAGAGCCCTTTTACAAAATTGCGCCGCTGCCGTACTGATCGGCGCGTCGGTAGATTTGCACTAGTATATATTTCATTTTACGGGTGATGTTTCAAGTCTTATAAAATAATTATTAATGAACTAATTATAAAAATATATACATATTTCAGTACTTCAATGATGGTAGATTAGTTTTATGAAAGTTTTTGATAGTAATTCTATTTAATTCAATATCAAAATACGAGTTAAACCTGCATTGTTTTTTGGGAAAACTCACGGAGGTTAGATTTTTTAGAGGTTAGATTTGGTTAGAAAATCAAAATTCTAATACATTATGTTACAACAAAAACATATTTCTGATGTCCTAGTAATTAATTCGATTTAATTTATTGAACATTATTGAGAGATTGAGGCGTTTGAAGTTGTGGATATCATCGTTTTTTCCGTAAACTAGCTGCAGTAGAACGAACAGTACAAAAAAAGGAAAATAGCATTTGCAAATAATCGACTGTTCCTTTTGGAAATAGTCAAAATCTTTTTTAAGGGGGTAAACAAGGCGCTCAAAAATTACGATTTTTTGCAAAAAATTTGAAAGGGCTCTTAATGCATGACAAGGACAAACTGTTGTCAAGTGAAGGGTCGGCATAAAACTCGATAGTCTGTGGTTGTGGTGCAGGCAGTTTGCAGTCGTAGTAAACTGTGGCATTCGTGCATTCTTGTTTCGGATTACCTGTTGTGTGTGTTTATTTGCGATCGTTTTTCCTTTAATTTAACTATTTCGGCTATCTAATATGCCATCGATGTTACCAAATAGCCGAGACCTTATTACCAAGTGCTAGAGAACCTGTGCCACAACATCCTGAGAGGATCATCATACTATCAAATTATTCAAGAGCACCTGATACACATTCACGCTGCATATTTACACAATATACATTTGATATACAAGTAAATACAATATACAATATGATACAATGGTGAAAAATAGTTAAAAAATAAGAAGCAAACCTACAGTTTTTATTTTATTTATGATTCCTACCTAACCAAGTTTTTCCTAATAGTTGTTCTTTAAAATCGCATCGAATAAAAATGAATAAGTTGTAATATTAATTCTATTCATACTGAATTCATACTAAGTTCATAGGTTGACCTATGTTTCATTTATTATTAAACATAACCTCAAAAAATATTTAGTTTTCCTGATAATTTAATTTCTTAGAAGTGTCCGTCAATAATCTTTGTTTTTACAGTCATTTACTTGAAATTTCGAACCTAGAAAATAATATTTCATGATTGTTGGTTCTTAGGCTAACAATGTATGGACGCACAACAATGTCCTTTCGAAAAAATAAACACAACATATTTTATGATAACAATCGAAAGGGTAAGGATAAATCATAAGGATTATTTTTTTCTCAATAACATAGCATGCATTTTATGAAATTCTTGAGCATTTCATGAAGTGAGCAAATCTACGATATGGCCACGACATATATACAAGCCAAATATACTGGTACTATAACTTATAGGGGATGTCAACTTACCAGTGACAAATATCATGGTGGATATTATGTTTGATCTGTCGGGATCCGTTTCCCGCATACACAGGGCTGGGCACAAGATGAATGGGATAGCTACTATCGCGCCGATCATTGTCAAGTAGTGCTGGAACATAAGATTAAAGTTATTTTATTAAATAAATATTTTCAACACTCACACAAATTAGCCTAGCCCCAAATTAAACACTGTAAGGCTTGTGTTATGGGATACTAGGTAGACATGGGCGTTTTTGGTTTTGCACGCAAACGGATATTTATCGGATTTCAGATTTCAAAATCGATTTTAAAATCCGTTTTTAGATATCCGATTTCAGATGTGCCGAACTTAGCCTGTGTTATGATTTGGTTTTATTAGCTAACGACAATCACAAACAATTAATTGTAGGAAACAAGGATACTCGTAGATTTGCGCGATTTTCCTTCATGCTTTAAATCTAGGCTTAGGAGTAGCAGAAAAGTTATGTTTACGGTTAAAAATCGGCTTATATACAATGATTTCTTTATACATATTTTTTTAGTATTTTTTTTTTATTTTTCTGTTTGTTTTTATTATTTTTCAAACCATTTACAAAATCAAACCTAATTACTTCAGGTTAGCGTTCAAAAATGTAAGTTAATCGACTTTTGATGTTTTTAGACGACATCTCTTTTCAGTGATAAATAATCCCGCCTTAGAGAACAGCAATAGATTTCCGTAAACAGCAAACCGAAATCGGACTTCCGAAAACGAAAGCACGAATTTCGAATCCGATTTACATATGGATACTTGTGGTGGTATTAGATCGCTATCGTTACGCTAGCGTTTTGGTTCGGTTAGATTTCTGAAATCGGATTTTCTTGTTGATAAATCGTTCGGTATCGATTTGTGTTTGAAATCGGATTTTGGATTCGTTTTGATATATCAGACGCATGCCTAATACTAGGGTAACGGGTAGAATACATATATTGTACATATAAGTATATTTATATAGAAATACATATTAAACATCCATGGAGTACAAATGCTCGTATTCATTACACAAACATCTGCCCCCACCGGGATTCGAACCCGGTACCTCTCGAGTCGGCGACATCATGAAACCCGGAAAAAGCATTTCTGTTTGGGGACCATCCGTTTGGGGAAAGGCTTCGCTTCTCCCGCCCGCGAGAGGGGACCAGAAGGTCCTTCCAACAGGGTGTGGGTGGCCTATAGACTCCAAAATGGTTTCTCGGGTACCGCTCCCAACCTAGGGTGCGCCGTGAGGCTTTTAGTGGGTAGGCCGCCGAAGACTAATCGAATAGACCTCCGTTGGATGTGTCCACGGAGAAGAGTCCCACATAACCTCGCATTTTCATCATCATCATCAGCCTATTAATGTCCTCACTGCTGGGGCACAGGACTTCCCTATGGATAGAGTAGGGAGATTGGGCCATGACCCACCACACGGGCCCAGTGCGGATTGGTGGGTGCTAACGACTGCAGATGCAGCCTGGACCAACGGCTTAACGTGCCTTCCGAAGCACGGAGGAGCTCGAGATAGTAAATTTTTGGTCACCCATCCAATAACCGACCACTGCGAAAGTTGCTTAACATCAACGATCGCAGCCGAACGCGCTAACCACTTGCGCCAACGAGCTCCACGCATTTTCGCCACGGCAGATTTCTTAGTTTGTTTCGCCAGTGCCTCTCATAAGTTCTTACTGATTTCATTATTATTGTTAATGTAAAATATCAATAAAACTTTGAGAATTACAAAAACGATTAGATAATCAGTTCACACATTATAGTCTGTCTTTTATTTATCTTTTTATCACAGACTGTGTTTTAAATTTTCAGTTTCATTCATTCGTTTCATTTTTCATTTTCGTATGTCATTTTCATTTTACATTTTCTTAACAGTAATGTTCGCGCTATGTTTTTTTTCCATTCATTCTCGACTGATTCCTCCTTGATTTTTATCATTAAATAATTTATTTTCATATACACCGTGTTCCTGAGGTTATACACTAACTTTGGCATGTTATTCAGACTATTAAATTGATCAATTTTTACTATGGACACTTTTATGGATTCCAATTTCTTTAACATTTTTTATTTTAATAGAAACTAAATGCTTAGATGTAATTTATCTAATATGAATCAATCTTTACCTGAGCTGGCAACGTCGCATTTGAAACTTTGGTTCACATGTCCACATAAACTTTTTGAAATTTTTCTTGACGTCAACAATGTTTTCTTAAATTTTGACTTTTGAAACTATGTCTTATTGACCATTGACAAAGAGTTGATAGTTTGATAGTTTTGGTTGCACTAAGTGGCAACATCTCACAGATAAAAACTCTTTCTCACTGCACAACACAATTAAGTTGGTTAAACTTAAATTACCAATAACTTAAAAACTATGCTATTTAAAGTACTGCTTTCCTTGTACGATATGTTTAACAGGAGCTATAGAAGTATTATTCTAAGTAAATGTATATCCTCAGGAACACCGTGTATAAAATATATTTTTTCTCATTCTATACTCGTATGTCTTCCTTTCTTCAATAACTTGTGTTTCAAAGAAACTAGAAGCCCTCGAAAAAAGCCAAAAATAAACAAATTTCTGTCACCACTAAAGACGTCTACAAATAGTGTGGAGATTTAATAAGCACTTACAAAAAAGTCAAAACATAGAGGCACAGTATAACTACTAATTATTTTACATACGTGGGACACTCAGAAAGTTTTGAGAAACTAAAAAACTAACTTCTATGTTTATATCTAAAGAAAATATGACTAGAAAAAATTCCACGCGGACCAGAATATTTTCTAGTCATATTTTCTTTAGATTTACTCATCAAGCAGTTACATGCTTAAAAATAAAAATTATAACTAACTTCTATGTAAAAAATATTTTTATTAAATCTTTTCAAAGAACTCTCCACCAGCCTCTATACAAAGTTTCATGCGACCGAACTAAGAGCCTGCCTTTAAGAGGCACACCATCGAACGGACCTCACACCTGGCTCCCGTAAGTCTTACGAACCCCACAGTGGCTGCCCACCGAGGACCGCTTTACGGTATAATATCCGCTAAAAAAGTCCTGCGAATACCCTCTAAGCTGCTTAGTGCGAAACCGCGGGATCCCCGTTTAGGGATTCTTCCGCGTCTCTGCACCCAGCAGCCTCCCGGCCTAGCCGGGGCTCCACGGCAGGGGTCTCCCGAGATATTGCGGGGACCCCGCAGACGTGCGCAGGATGGCCCGCGCGTGGGGGCAAAATACGCGGCCTAGTGCCCACCGTACCGCCCCCCGTCCGCTGCGGAGGACTACTTGGGCGTGCCCGTGTAGCTCCCTCCGCCGCCCCCCTCTTTGCAGGACAGAACTACAAGATGGGGGCTGCCGTCAGGGGAGCATGGCCTCTACCATGCTCCGCAACGAGAGGGTTCCGCCTCCCAGCGCCGCAATCAGGTCGCGGCGCTGCTGCCGCCAGGCCGAGCACTCCAGCAAGGTGTGCTCGGCCGTATCGTCCGGGGCGCCGCAGTGATGACACTGCGGCGTTTCCTCCCAACGGGCGACACGGTACAGGTAGTGACCGAAACATCCGTGCCCGGTCAGTACCTGCACCATGCGGAACGAGAGGCCGCCGCGCCGGCGACCCACCCACTCCTCCAACACCGGACGAATGGCCTCAATCGTCCGGTGGCCAGGCGAGTGCCTCATCCCATCGCCGCAAGGCCTCTGCCTGCGCGATGGAACGGACCTGCCGCAGCTCTGCTGGGGCATGTCTTTCACCCCGCTCCCTGGCTTCGACCCGACGTCGATGCACGTCTGCCAGAACCTGGGCATCGAGATCCCACGGCGTCATACCCGCGAGTAAGCAGGCGGCGCCGTGGCTGACCGTGCGGTAAGCTCGCACGACCCGGGTCGCGATGGTCCTCTGCGGTCGTCGCAGCAGGGCCATCGTGCGGGGTTTGAGGCACTCTGCCCAAACCGGGGCTCCATAAAGTGCCATCGATCGTATCACCCCGTGATACAGTCGACGGCACAACTTTCTGAGTGGCCTGGTACATCTAATTTCTAGGAGGAAATCGTCTAGAGCCAAACCTCGAATTTCGAAATTCTTACACTCAATTTTCAGCGTTAACTACTGTTGTCCCTATCACACGGTATTTGCCAATGTGTGACGGCAATAGATTTTTCAAACACTTATTTCTCGAATGTCTCTCAGCTCGCCTCTGATCTTAAATAATGAATATTGATTTGTTGTTTGAGTTGTTTATCACTTTATGATTAAAACCGTGAGAATTTAACTGATCCTTAAACCGTTTAAATGCATTCCCAAATATAGAAATTTGGTGACTCATTTCTTTGCCGCACTATCCGTATATGGAATGCTCTGTCCGCTCACGTGTTCCCTCCCTCTTACAACCTGGGATCCTTTAAAAGAGGCGTGAAGAAGCAACATGCAGGCCGGCAGGGTGAGGATGGCTAGTGTGGCAGGTAGAACTGCTGTTTCAGCTATCTTCGCATCTGGACTTCACCTTCACTTAACATCAGGTGTGGTGGAGTTATTTGTCGGACCTATCTATAAAAAAAAAATAGTACCTGCAAAGCCATGAAGATGCAGAGGTACCAGGGCGGCAGGTCGTCGATGCCGTATGTCACGTTTCCTTCTCGCGTCACCTCTCCATCTCCATTCACCTTATCTGGTTCATCTGGGTTCTGCAAATCAATTTAGATATTGCAATGTTAATAAGTGTTTTTGATACAACATTCAAGTGTCTCCGCACCACCTGATGTTAAGTGTGTAATGAGTAGAATCTAGTAGCGAAGAAAACTGCGGCAAAATAACCTTAAAGGCTGAACTTTATCAGCCTAAAATTTGGATGGAGTTATGGCACAATTGAAATGAAATGAAATGAAAAACCTTTATTGACCATCTTACATAATAAAAATACTATAAATATAAACAAAAAAATAAAAGAAGAACTTAACCTAAAAACAAAAAATAACAACATAAAACTAAGACGGCCAATCAGGACCCTGCCTCAGCTTATACTGACACAATTGAAATAATAATAATTCATTAAATAATATTATTTATAAATTATAATATTCCGACCACAAAGATCATAGCACGACAATGTCAAAGTAATAAGATATTATAATAAAAAAAATACATCTCAAATTTCAATAACAATTGCAATAGAATAATTCAAATCAATTAAAATAATAAATTTAAATGCAATCAAAGTTTCAATGTAAAAATTTTTAAAGAAAATTAAAATATTATAATTAAAAACAAAATGTCAGAATTTAAAATTGAAAAATTACACATAGTACATTATAGTCAATGGAAATTAATGTTTGTAATATATAACAAAATTTATGAAGTCACTACATGAATCATAGCTGCATAATTCATAATAGTGACAGTGTTATTGTTATTTATTTATAGTTTAGTTAGACTATTAGTTCTAAAGTTATGTAACTTTTCGGTGATAAAATTCCTATTTTGGTAGCATTGAAAATTGATTAGATTTTTCTGGCTGAACTACTCTTTGGTACTTACTTTACTATTGATATGAGCAATTATATGGCATTGCATTAAAAATATTTGTAAAATCGATATGCCTATGATAGAAAAAAAAACCTAAGGTTAAGGTTGGTATTTAAAAAATGCTAATCAGACATTGCAATAAGCGCGGGCGCAGTGCCAAGCTGCTTGTAGTGGCGCATACAGATAGATTTTAGGGTTCCGTACCTAAAGGGTAAAAACGGGACCCTATTACTAAGACTCCTATTGCCTGTCTGTCACCAAACTGTACGTAATGAACCGTGATAGCGAAACAGCTGATATTTTCACGGATAATGTATTTCTGTTACCGCTATAACAACAAATACAAAAACATACAACAAACGTGTTTTCTTTTTCCGTTTTTTGCTCTATATTAATAACGGCAACACGTACACGCTTGAAATATTAACAGAGCTTTAAAAAATCAATAATTAAATTTAAATAAAATAAATATTTAAGGGCTCCCATACTCGATATTATTATTATTTCCTCGACATTAAAATAAAGTATCTAATATTGTATAGATAATGATACGGATCCCTTCGTGCGAAAGTTCGACTCGCAATTGGCCGGTTTTTCCTTTCAGTCAATGAGAAAATGCTATCAATTTTATCTTTATACTAGTGGCCCGTCCTCGCTTCGCTTCGGGGTAGAATTGATCAAAATCCTTTCTTAGCGGATGCCTACGTCATAACATTTACCTGCATGCCAAATTTCAGCCCGATCCGTCCAGTGGTTTGGGCTGTGCGTCGATAGATAACTATGTCAGTCAGTCAGTCACCTTTGAGTTTTATACAGGGTGTAAAAAAACCTATAACGAAGTCGAAGGCCACGTATTTTCCACATCATGACGACCATTTTTTTCTTCTGGACCATACCTGGGAAATTTATGGTTATGGAAATATTGAAGATCAAAGCCAAAATATTTTTTTCAAGATTTATACAACAATATTTTCAAAACGTTATTTAGAAACTTTTTTATCGACGCACTTTCACACACGCACAGTCATACACACAGGCACATTCTTTGCGTAGCGCCACAGTAAAGTGCCGTGCTATACATTGCGTACTGGAAAAAAAATGTATTTTTTTAACTTAAAAATACAAAAATTTTCCCACCTATAATATTTTGTAATATGTCTTGTTTGGGTGTTCAGAATGCGTAGTTCAAGTCTTTGTCATAGGTTTTTTTACACCCTGTATATAGTCCAGTCAAATTACGGAAAAAAAAGGGCTAAAAAAACATGAGCGAGTACAGTTTGGGGATTTTGAGGATCGATAGGGGGGTGCATCCTGAGCTTAAGTTCCAATTTGAAGGGCTGTACTGAGGTCAGCTCAAGGTCATTTCGATGCAAACGCGTTTAATTCGATATCTCGAGAAATATCAGTGTTAGCCAAAAAATTATAGAGACCTTTTTTCTTCTAAATGAAATTTATTAACTTTTTTATTTAAAACTTTTTTTTTAACATCAATATTTTTTAAGTTATTACTCCCGCAAGGCAAAAATTTCATTTTTTCCCCTATTTTTCGTCGTTTTCTCCCCAAACATTCAATTTTATTGAATTTTACCGATCATCAACGTGTATATCTTTTAATTATGCACAATTTTGTTTTTAAACTTTTTTCTGTAACTTCAATACCTTCGGAGTTATATATTATTTTACCGAGCGAAATCCACGCCACTGTCGCAACGTGTATCCACAGATACATTGTTGCGTGTATTAGTGCGGGTAAGGAACATCTGTCCTCGATTTTTATACCTGGGGTAACCCTCGTCCTACGAAATCAATTTTTTTTTTTTTTTTTTTTGTGTGAAACAGTTTTAATTGTTAATTTACTTGTTACCCAAACAAACCCATAAATTTACCCAAATTAAATACCCAATTTTTAAATAGTTTAATCGATTTACCCTTTTATATTGCGACAGTGGCGTGGATTTCGCTCGGTAAAATAATATATAACTCCGAAGGTATTGAAGTTACAGAAAAAAGTTTAAAAACAAAATTGTGCATAATTAAAAGATATACACGTTGATGATCGGTAAAATTCAATAAAATTGAATGTTTGGGGAGAAAACGACGAAAAATAGGGGAAAAAATGAAATTTTTGCCTTGCGGGAGTAATAACTTAAAAAATATTGATGTTAAAAAAAAAGTTTTAAATAAAAAAGTTAATAAATTTCATTTAGAAGAAAAAAGGTCTCTATAATTTTTTGGCTAACACTGATATTTCTCGAGATATCGAATTAAACGCGTTTGCATCGAAATGACCTTGAGCTGACCTCAGTACAGCCCCTCAAATTGGAACTTAAGCTCAGGATGCACCCCCCTTACGATCCTCAAAATCCCCAAACTGTGTTCGCTCATGTTTATTTGATTCCGTAATTTGACTGGACTAATATATAAATAGATAAATTCCGATTTTTATTATGACTTTATCTACAGATGCTCGTGCGGGTAATATAAAGATTAAACTATTATAAACCATATAAGTAAATACGTCGTTGATATTATCTCCGTTTTACAAAGGATAAACCAATAGAAGGTGTAGAAGATAAATGATGATAAGTATGTACAAATAATTAAACACCAATTTAAATAGGTTGGGTAAATACCTACTCTACTAATGTGTTGAGAACATGACTACTTCGTTATAGCTCAAGATATATTTTCCATTATTCTAATCTAAGAGCTGGTTTGTGTGTGTACATATGTGACGTTAGTGGGCATGAAACCTTCGCTTTTGTCATGTCATGCCATCAATCTTGTGGAATCTAGATCAATAAGCTTAGATTAAAACAAAAAGGGAAGATACGTTAACCTCATACTAGCATCAAATAAAATATGCTCCGATTCAACTACATAAGCAACTCACATACGCACTCTGTAAATAAACATTCAATCGAGCGAGCGAGACAGAACTATACGCTTCAACACAGCGCGAGCGAAACGGCGAGTCTGCGTGCGAGTCTGCACGGCTGACCTTTAATATTGTCCTTTTCTTGATAACAAAATGGCGTTTACGTAAATAAGCATACACGACAAACCGTGATTTTTGAAAGAAAAAATGTTTTTACAGCTTTATGAATGAAAAGTGTTGCCGAGGCATTTGTTATTTGATTTTGATCTGTTTTCATCATAAAAGCATCGAAGTAATTGCTTTATCTTTATAAAACAGAATATACGCAATATTGTTATATTGAGTGCACATGAGGAGCTCGATGGCGCAAGTGGTTAGCGCGTTCGGCTGCGGTCGTTGAAGTTAAGCAACTTTCGCAGTGGTCGGTCATTGGATGGGTGACCAAAAATTTATTATCTCGAGCTCCTCTGTGCTTCGGAAGGCACGTTAAGCCGTTGGTCCCGGCTGCAACTGCAGTCGTTAGCACCCACCAATCCGCACTGGGCCCGCGTGGTGGGTCATGGCCCAATCTCCCTATTCCATCCATAGGGAAGGCCTGTGCCCCAGCAGTGGGGACATTAATAGGCTGATGATGATGATGATGATGATGAGTGCACATGCAGTGTGTTTAAATGTCCAATTGTGACTAAAGCGAATTGTGATTATGCACCACAATTTAAGCGGATCATTTCTGAGCCGCGTGTGCCGTATCTTCCCTTTTTGTTTTAATCTAAGCCAATAAAGCATACAATGTGAATAAGCACCAATACAATAAGTTATCAATTTTCCAACAAAGTAGGTTACTTTGTGCCGCTTTCAATCTTTACAAGAAACGCGAGAAAAACATGAATGGAACAGCAGCTTACTTTCATCATCTTTTAGGCTAAGGCTTATTTAGTTAAAATCTTAGAAGTAGTTCTAACTGTGCGCTTACTGTTTTATCATCTGCGAAAGATTTCAATGTTACTAGTCACTTTGTGGCACGTGCTTCAGCACGTAAAGCCGTTTGTCCCGGCGGCTTCTACAGTCGTTAGCACCCACAAATCCGCCTTGTGCCCACGTGATGAGTCATGCACGGCTTGGGCTGCCATCTCTAAAATGTGGCAACCAGGATAAGACGCGTGATAACCCCGGATTTTGGAGCCCAGAACCCGAACAGACCAATAAAATAGTTAAAAATATCACAAATCAACTTTTTTATGTTGATCTAGGCAAAAGAGCTAGCGGTCTACCTCATAATAAGTG